GCTGTAACAGAGGCTGTAAACATTGAAGGCGATGAGTACCATGCAAGGTGTAAGGGAACGTGGTGCCCATCCCTCCCACTCAGGAGCTCCCTGTCTGCAGAGGCTGCAGAGATCCAGCCTGCCTTTGTCAGATGGCCTTGCAGCTGAGATGAACTTGAAGCTCTGGGCAGCACACCACTGCAGTCACCAGGGGATTCCTCAGCAGCAACTGCAGTCTGGACAAGAGCTTTCAGACACCAAAGGCTGCTAGGGCTGTAAAGTGATGTCCAGACCCCGAGTCACATCAGCAGTGCTGTTCTGGGAGTCACAGCCTGCTCCTCCAGCCCCTCACATGACAAGTAGGCCCTTATTTCACTATTTTACTGGGAGGGACTGCAGGGCTGGGGTGGAGGGCAGACCATCCATCCTTTGGTCACCAGAAGTCCCTTTGCAGGGAGAGAGATCAGTCACTGAATCCTGATGATGTGATTGGAGCCAAGGAGTGGCACAGCTTCCTCACCAACCAGAAGAGGAGGACCTTCTGTCCCTGGGGAGCACTCCCACACAACTCCTGTTACACAACTGACACCCCAAACCACCACACTCCTGCCCTTGCCCTGGGAAGGGATCCCTGAGGCCAGATGGAAATAACACCCAGGTGCTAATTGGAGAGATAATCAATTAATTCCTGGGATAAAGGGGATGCCAGGAGAGGAGCAGCAACCTGGGTCTGGTCCCGGGTGTCTGTGAGTAGAGCCTGTCTGTCCTTCCCAGAGGGACTGTGCCGGGGGGTTGGGGATGGGTGGTGGTGAGCTTGGAGGCTCCTGCACTGAGATTCACGAGCCTTGGGTCCTGTTCCAGCCCACGTCCCTGACCTGTAGGACGGTGGGTCAGTGTCCTGCTTGGATGCGGGGAGCAGGATGAGAAAATACAACAAATGGCTGTTTGAGGTCAGGATCTTTCACTTGGTAACCAAGAAAGCCAGAACCTTTTCTAGCCACTGGTAGAGGCAGGATCCCAACATCTAATAGCGGCTTCCACCAAGACAGCCCCAATCCTGCCTGACTGAGGTGGGCTCTCACACAGAAGCCAGAGCTGTCCCTAGAGAGTAAGGTCCCACGGTAGACACAACAAGAAGGGGTCTCTGAGGGGAGCTGTTGGTGGGAGTGCACTGGGCTATGTGCTAAGGCTTCTCTGATGCCTTGAGAAGGGCCTCTGCAGCATGCAAATCCCAGACTCACACCCCAGAGCCTCAGTGCTGTTGAGTTTCTGGCTGACAGTGTCCACAGTGTCCAGTGTCCAGTGTCCACAGTGTCCATCTCTTACTGTGTCCAGTGTCCAGATTAGCACATTGCTAATCTCTTACACCCTTGGGGTTTAGAGGTGGGAGGGTGCTCTCAGCTCCCTGACCTCAGAGCCCTGACCAGGAGCTGCTCACTAAACCACAGTTCAGGGTACTCGGGTGAAAGTGATGTATTTTTACATGTGGAAATTTCAGGTTGAACAAGGTTGGGGAAATGGGGGAAAATGTAGGGAGGATGCTGTGGTGGCTCATGAAACACAACCAGGGGATAGGCCCTGGGAGATCCCTACTTCCCACTCCCCCAGAGTCCTCTTGCTGGTCTCCTTCTCTTTGTCTATGTGTCCATAGACACAGAGTCCAGTGTCCAGTGTCCAGTGTCCAGTTGAAGGCGATAAGTACCATGCAAGGTGTACAGGAAACGTGATGCCCATCCCTCCCACTCAGGGGCTCCCTGTCTGCAGAGGCTGCAGAGATCCAGCCTGCCTTTGTCAGATGGCCTTGCAGCTGAGATGAACTTGAAGCTCTGGGCAGCACACCACTGCAGTCACCAGGGGATTCCCCAGCAGCAACTGCAGTCTGGACAAGAACTTTCAGACGCCAAAGGCTGCTAGGGCTGTAAAGTGATGTCCAGACCCGGAGTCACACCAGCAGTGCTGTTCTGGGAGTCACAGCCTGCTCCTCCAGCCCCTCACATGACAAGTAGGTCCTTATTTCACTATTTTACTGGGAGGGACTGCAGGGCTGGGGTGGAGGGCAGACCATCCATCCTTTGGTCACCAGAAGTCCCTTTGCAGGGAGAGAGATCAGTCACTGAATCCTGATGATGTGATTGGAGCCAAGGAGTGGCACAGCTTCCTCACCAACCAGAAGAGGAGGACCTTCTGTCCCTGGGGAGCACTCCCACACAACTCCTGTTACACAACTGACACCCCAAACCACCACACTCCTGCCCTTGCCCTGGGAAGGGATCCCTGAGGCCAGATGGAAATAACACCCAGGTGCTAATTGGAGAGATAATCAATTAATTCCTGGGATAAAGGGGATGCCAGGAGAGGAGCAGCAACCTGGGTCTGGTCCCGGGTGTCTGTGAGTAGAGCCTGCCTGTCCTTCCCAGAGGGACTGTGCCGGGGGTTGAGGGTGGGTGGTGGTGAGCTTGGAGGCTCCTGCACTGAGATTCACGAGCCTTGGGTCCTGTTCCAGCCCATGTCCCTGACCTGTAGGACGGTGGGTCAGTGTCCTGCTTGGATGCGGGGAGCAGGATGAGAAAATACAACAAATGGCTGTTTGAGGTCAGGATCTTTCACTTGGTAACCAAGAAAGCCAGAACCTTTTCTAGCCACTGGTAGAGGCAGGATCCCAACATCTAATAGCGGCTTCCACCAAGACAGCCCCAATCCTGCCTGACTGAGGTGGGCTCTCACACAGAAGCCAGAGCTGTCCCTAGAGAGTAAGGTCCCACGGTAGGCACAACAAGAAGGGGTCTCTGAGGGAGCTGTTGGTGGGAGTGCACGGGGCTGTGTGCTAAGGCTTCTCTGATGCCTTGAGAAGGGCCTCTGCAGCATGCAAATCCCAGACTCACACCCCAGAGCCTCAGTGCTGTTGAGTTTCTGGCTGACAGTGTCCACAGTGTCCAGTGTCCTGTGTCCACAGTGTCCATCTCTTACAGTGTCCAGTGTCCAGATTAGCACATTGCTAATCTCTTACACCCTTGGGGTTTAGAGGTGGGAGGGTGCTCTCAGCTCCCTGACCTCAGAGCCCTGACCAGGAGCTGCTCACTAAACCACAGTTCAGGGTACTCGGGTGAAAGTGATGTATTTTTACATGTGGAAATTTCAGGTTGAACAAGGTTGGGGAAATGGGGGAAAATGTAGGGAGGATGCTGTGGTGGCTCATGAAACACAACCAGGGGATAGGCCCTGGGAGATCCCTACTTCCCACTCCCCCAGAGTCCTCTTGCTGGTCTCCTTCTCTTTGTCTATGTGTCCATAGACACAGAGTCCAGTGTCCAGTGTCCAGTGTCCAGTTGAAGGCGATAAGTACCATGCAAGGTGTACAGGAAACGTGATGCCCATCCCTCCCACTCAGGGGCTCCCTGTCTGCAGAGGCTGCAGAGATCCAGCCTGCCTTTGTCAGATGGCCTTGCAGCTGAGATGAACTTGAAGCTCTGGGCAGCACACCACTGCAGTCACCAGGGGATTCCTCAGCAGCAACTGCAGTCTGGACAAGAGCTTTCAGACGCCAAAGGCTGCTAGGGCTGTAAAGTGATGTTCAGACCCCAAGTCAAATCAGCAGTGCTGTTCTGGGAGTCATAGCCTGCTCCTCCAGCCCCTTGCATGACAAGTAGGTCCAGTGTCCAGTGTCCACTGGACAGTGTCCACACATCTCAGGAGCACCTGTCTTCTCATCAACACAGCCTCCCAGACCCCTGCCCTACCCTGTCTCCCTCCCCCTCCCTACTTTTTAGTGACTCATCTATGTGATCAGGAGTATGGGCTGGGCTGCATCTATTCAGACACAACAACAACAGTTCCCTAGAGAAGTTTCCTTCCTCACCCTGCAGAAGCTCCAGATTTGGGCAGAGGCCATTGGCCTGGGTCCCAGGCTGCCTGGAACTGTCCCAGAAAAGGAGTGGTTTCATTGTGAAATGGGTGCACTTATTGGAAGAACCTCCATGTGGGCCTGGGATCCAGGTGGAAGGAGCGTGGGAGAGCGAGTGCTGCACGTTCCCTGGGGCAGAGACAGGGAGGCAGTAACATCAGCCTACAAGAGTGGCAGGTCACCCTTCCTAGACCCCAAAGAGAATCTTGTCTTTGCTGGAATGGGGCTGGGGTGTCCCTGAGGGTGAATTCCTGCAGGAGCTGGGGGAGGGGCTCCCAGGCCTCACTGCATGGGGTGACCTGAGCTCCCAGGACTCAGTGTCCCTCAGGGGAGCTGTTCTCCACCTGCAGTGCTCACATCCTGACCTCAGTGTTACTCTTTCTCTAAGGGGAACTCCCACATCCATCTTCCTCTGAACATGAGGCTGAGGTCAAAGCCTTGGGGAATCTACTGAAGGTGGTGGAATTTCTCTCACAGAACTTATGGACCAGTAATACGGATAATGACAGACCACACCAGCAAACTAAGATTTCTATACTCCCCCCCTCTCTCCCTTCTCTCTTGCCCTCTTGTCCTTGGACCTCTCATTGTGGCTTTTGAATAATCTACCCACCTGTGTCAGGAACAAAGCCTGGGCCATATAAGGTGTTAAGTGGACATGTGTGCCTATACTCATGACATTAATGAAGACACAGAGAAGGAGACCAGCAAATGGACTCTGGGGCAGTGGGAAGTAGGGTTCTCCCAGGGCCTTTCCCCTGGTTGTGTTTCATCAGCCACTACAGCATCCTTCCCCCCCCTTATTTCCCTCTTTCCCCAACCTTCTTCAACCTGGAATTTCCACGTGTAAAAACTCATCACCTTCACCTGAGTACCCTGAACTGTGGTTTAGTGAGCAGCTCCTGGTCAGGGCTCTGAGGTCAGGGAGCTGAGAGCACCCTCCCACCCCTCAACCCCAAGGGTGTAAGAGATTAGCAATGTGGGAAAGACAGTGGGGAGAGGAGAAGAGTCATAGGATGTGATGGAAAACCTGGGGGATTCATCCTGGAAGAGTAGGGGTGGCTCTAAGGCGTGTCCTGCTTGCTGAGGAGGCCCAGGTGCTGGGCATGAGAGGGAGGCATTTGGGGAAAAGTCTCATGAAGGGGAGGGGCTGGGTATCCTGGCTCTCAGAGGATCCCAGGGTGCCAGGGATGATGTCTAGATCGTCCTGATTGATGGTTCCACCATGTCTCCACAGGACTGGCTAGGAGGCAGGAGATTCAATGACATCATCTGCCCTTATCAGACATAAAAGCACCTGCGGGAACTGCAGACCTTCTTCTGATTCTGCTGCAGCCAACCCAGAGCCATGACTCCGGGATGCCACATCCTGGGTAAGCAAAACCCAACTCCAATTACCTCGGACCCCAGCTCCAATCTCACCCACCACCCCATTACCACCTGACCCTACTTCTCCTTAGTGCCAGGCCTTACCCAATCCATCTCCCCAATATCCTCTCCACCCACATCTCTGATTCGGTTCTGAAACTCATGCCCAATGCCACCCATGCCCCTTTCCCACTCCAACCCCAGTCTTCTAGACTTTTATGTGGGTCATCTCCATAGCAACCCCGGTGAGCTCAGCCCCCTGAGTGACCCCTGAGAGCAGCCTCCTGCTCACAACACCTGCCCATTGAACATCCAAAACCTCTTGAATCCTAAACCTATTTCTCCCAAGAACCCTGCCAGCACTCCTCACATTCCACCGGTCCTGGACCTCAGTCAGGACAGAGATCCTCTCAGACATTCTCCTGTCCCAGGCAGGGCTCCCTAGGGTAGACCCAAGGCTGCCCCTTCAGCCTCACCTCATCCAGCTCCTCTCCCACAGCTCTCTCCATGGCTCTCTGCATCATCAGCCTCTTCTGTGCACTCGGAGCCCCAGGTGAGCCCAGGAGGGACAGGGACACTCGGGTGGTGGGTGGCTCCCAGAGGGCCCCGCATGGGTGCAGCCTGTGCTGTCATCTGGGCCACAGCAGCTCTGTCTCCTCCAGTGTCCCCCACGGGTGCTCACCTGATGCTGTGCCAGGCACACTCCAGATGTGGGGGCAAGCTCTACGACCCCCAGCAGCACTGTTGCTATGACGACGCTGTGGTGCCCTTGAGCAGGACCCGGAAGTGTGGAAACTGCACCTTCAGGGTCTGCTTTGAGCAGTGCTGTCCCTGGTCACTGAGACCCCAGGAGACCTTCGTGGTAAAAGTGAGAGGCCAGGGGTGCTCCTTGGCACGAACCTTGGATGACATGGTTTGTTCCAGGTAAGGTCCTGTCCCCTTCACAGGCATGGGGTGTGCCCAGGGACTGGGGAGGGTCTGGAATCCCGGATTGTGCATGATATAACTGCCCTGTTCCTGTCCACCTGCTCCAGTCAGTCTCTCCCTTTTTCTCTCTTTGTTTCTCCTTTTGGTTTTATTTCCCTCTCATCCTCCTTGATGTCCTTCTGTGTCCCTCTTTTCCACTGCTCTGTCCATAACCATGTGTCCCTACATTTCTGGCCTTCTCTCTCCACAGTGTCAGCTGACCGAGGACGGGTGACCAGATGGCTGTGGTTTCTGCTTCCTCATTGAGTCTGGAGATGGGCCCTGGTGCTGACTGAGCTCCGGGACTGCAGGGATTTTGGGGACAGGAGCCTCTCCCAGTCCATGTGCCCGTCTGATGCTTGCTCCTCTGGCACTCTATTCTGTTCTAAGTGGTGATGGCCCCTTTCTGTGATTCTGGATAATGAGAGAGATGGTTTTTCTGAGCTCCCCAATACCTACAGCTAACACCATGAGACAGAACCCTATTACCTTCAGTTCTTTTCTCACCTGGCACCAAACACACAGCTCAGAGGAACTCGCCCCTCCATCTATGAGGTTGTAAATAAATAAACTTTAAAAGCACTTAATAAACTTTGCAGTTTACCTGTTCTGTTCCGGATCATGAATGGTTGGGAAGGGTCCTAAGTGGTGGACATGGGGTCCTTTCTCTGGCTCCCTGGGTCACCAGGAATGTGCCTGTTTCCCCTATAAGAACAACTGTCAGGTGTTCCCCAGTATCTGCGGGTTTCACGGAATAACAATTGCATCCCAGTCACCGGGATCCAGCTCTTGATTCCACTCTACCAGGGCTTAGGACAGGGAGGGAACTGGGTCCCAGGGAAGGAGGGGCTTTGGCCTGCATCTGTCCCCCACCACCTGCCTAGCTCAATAGAGGAAGGTGAGGCCAGCACGCCCCCTGGCGGGAGGCGGGTGCAGGGTGGGCAGGCGCAGGGCGGGCAGGCGCTAGGACTGAGAAACAGGGAGGAGCCCCCAGTGCTGGGGAAGGACTAGGTGCCTCTCCTGCACCTCAACCTCAGGGCGGGTCTCTCCACGTGTCCCCACCAGCCAGCCTTTGTGGTTGGAGCTGGCACTCTCATAGGAAGAACTGGTTTTCCTCCAAAAGACGGTCTGGGAGTCATCCCAAGAGGTGTCAGCATTTCCCATTGGGTCTTCCCCAAACCGCAGGTGGGAACTCCTCCCGGATCTCCTGGGCTCACCCAGCCACACACATGGGCAGGAACCAAGGTCACAGGGGTTGGGCTCTGTCATATCTGAGGTCGATCTTCCCTAGAGAGACAGGGGTTCAGGGAGGAGGAGCATCCAGGACACGTGGTGAGGATCACAGGGGACCAGGCCACGCCCCTCAGCCTGTGGGGTGGTGAGTGGGCCTGGACCAGGCAAGTCCAGCACCCTGGACAGAGGTGCCAAATGCATAGTTCTCTCCAGATTCTAACTTCTGAAAGAAATGAAGACTATTTTCCGTGTACTAATTTTATTTGTAAACAATCACATGCAAATTGGACAGAAAGGGCAGGGACTTCTGGTTCATTGAGTGGGGTCTCCCCAAACCGGGCTCAGAGGAACCTGCCCCTCCCTCCATGAGGTTGTAAATATGAGCAGCTGGGGAATGGACAGCATGCGAAGCAAAGCTCTCCCCATCCTCAGCCTTGTCTCCCTCTCCTCTGAAGACACACTAGCAGCAGTGTCAGTGTGATCTTCCAGAAGGTTCTGTGCCTGGAAGATCATGTCTGCAGGGACCTGATGGGACAGCAGGTGCTGGGGGAGGAGGAACTCTGCAGCTGGAGTGCCCAGGGCAGACCCTGCCCCTGTCTCACGTGTGTGATTCTGGGAATGATAAGTGCCTCTGTGCCTCGGTTTCCCCATTTGTAAAAAGACCACAAAAATGGAGATTAAATGAATACATATTTGTAAAGTATTTCAAAACATGCCTGGAGTATATGAAATGTGTCCATGATTGGTGAAAAGTAAACATTTATTCTCTGTTTTAGCTTACCTGTATACATAACTTTCATTATTTTGCCTTTTTAACTTAAAAAAGTTTAGAAATATTCTTGTGTGAGGACCCATAGATTCTTCTCAAACTTTCTAATGGCAGAAAATTAGTGCAGTGCCTGAATGTCTCAAGTTTATAATCCAATGTCTTTTTAAATAATAATATTTCAAATACTCTACTGACATGGAAAATGTTCACATCATCATGTTAAAGAGGAAAAAACTAGGATACATAATTGCATACGCCGTTATCTCACTGTGGGGGTTTCCCCATTGATTTTAGAGAGAGGATAAGTGAGGAAAAAAATGGGGGAAGGAGACAGAAGATGGAGATTTATTATCCCACCTATTTATGCATTCATTGGGTGGTTCTTGTATGTGCGCTGATCCAGGATCAAACAGGAAACCTTGGCTAATCGGGAGCACACTGTAGCCAAGTGAGCCCTCAGCCAGCGCAGCCCAGCTCTGAAAAATTCCCGCACAGGAGCTCCTGGTAACTGCAGGTTTTTTTTAGGGCCAGCAAATCAAAGAGGCTCCCTGACTCCTCAAATCTTCAATGATTGCCATGTACTTAATAAATCTATGGCTGTTCTCTTTCTCCAGTGCATACTTTTAACTTTTTATGATTAATATTTTAAAGTAACATGCACATAACAGAATTTCTGATTGAATTACTTTAATCAGTGGATTTTAAATGTCTATTCTGTGTAGTAAAAGCCTAATATGCAAATAGACCAAAAGACAGAACAACTGGTCTCTATTAAATGCATTGACCATCAGGGGGCAGATGCTCAATGCAGGAGCTGCCCCCTGGTGGTGAGTGCACTCCCACATGGGGAGCATAGCTCAGCCAGAAGCCAGGCTCAGGGCTGATGAGTTTGGTGCCTGTGGCAGGAACCTCTCCTGACTCTATAGCTGGGGTAAGGAGCAGCCAGCAGGTGGGAGGTAAGGAGTGAGGGGTCTGAGACTGCATGAGAGGGACCGCACTCCCAACCCAGTGCAAGAATTCCATGCATCAGGCCTCTAGTGTGTTTATAAAATTGTGTAATCACTACCACTAATTCCAGAACATTCCCATCAGTCCAAAAAGAAAGCCCGAACCCATTAGAAGTCATCCCCATGACCCTTTCCCCTGCCCCTTCACATCCACTGATCTGTTTCCTGTCTCTATGCATTGGCCTATTCTGGGCATTTCCTTTAAATGGGATCATATGTTGGGTGACATTTGTGTCTTTCATGTAGTGTAAGGTTCTCAAGGTTCATCCATGTTGTCACATGTATCAGTGTACCACTTCTTTTAGTGACCATAATATTCCATCGTATGGACACACTACATCTTGTTCATTCATTGTGGTGCAAGTGCCTGGCATTAGCATTCTGACTGTTATCTTAATGATTGTCATTGTAAATGTCACCCAAATCACAGACAGTCATCTACAAAGAACAGTTGCCACATGTAGGGTGCAGCTATCAGCAAAACCAGCAGATAAGCAACCAGGCGGCTCACACCATGAGGATTCCCTTTAGAAAGTCCTGGGCAACCAGATAACGGACAGGTTGGTGATCCATGTGCCTCCCTTCCTGAGCTCTAATTCCTGCTCCTATTGCTTTAAATTCACCCATAAACAGTGAACCCTCCATACACCAGACACACCAGCCCTGGACCCTGATGAAGGCAGACCCACAGGTCCACCCTCCTCCCCGCTCTCCACTTGCTGTGTGGCCCTCTGGCCTGCCGTGTGCGCTCCAGCATCTGTGAGTCATAAATCCTGTTCTTAACATTCTCAATGGCTCGTGGGGAGGTGCGTCCTGCAATCACAATAACCCCGAGGGCTGGTCCAGCCTCCACAGGACTGCAGCCCAGGAAATGCCTGTGGGTCTGGCCACAAGGACAAGAGGTCCAGGCCAGGGCCCCAGCATTCCTACCCTGTAGCATCGACAGCGGAGACCCACCCTTCACCGTTCACCAGCTCATGGACATCTGGGTCCTTTCCAACTTGAGGCTTTTAAGGATAATTGTGCAATGAATGCACACTTGTACCCGTGGGTGTGAAGAGGTTTGTGGTTTTGATTCACTTTCCCTAATGACTCAGCATGTGGATCATCTCTCCATGGGTTTAGTGTCTGTTTCTATGTCATCTTTGGGGAAACGTCTGCAAATCCTTTGCCCACTTTTTCATTCATTGTTTGCCTTTTTATTCCTGACTGGTAAATTTTTACTATATTCTATATACAATTCCCTTATCAGGCATATGGTTTGCAAATATGTTCTTTCATACTGGGAGTTGTCTTTTCACTTTTTAAAAAAAATCTATAATCTAGAGGCCTTGTGCACAAAATTTGTGCATGTGGGGAGGGGGATTGTCCCTCAGCCTGGCCTGCACCATGTTCAATCTGGGAGCCAAGTGGAGCAGCTGCCTGACCCCTCCTCTTGTGCCTGGGGCCGTCTTGTGGTGGACATCTTGTGATGATGTTGAGGGCCACCTGGGGTTTTATTAGCTTAGATATTTTTATTGATTTCTGACTGGAAAGGAGAAGGACACAGAGATAGAAACATCGACGAGAGACACACATTGATCAGCTGCCTCCTGCATGCCCCCTGCTGTGGGTCAAGTCTGCAAAGCGGCCATGTGGTCTGAATGAGAATGAAACCTGGACCCTCTTGGTCCAGGGGAAGCCGCTCCATGCACGAAGCCACACCACTGCGCTGGTGCTTCTAGAAGTGAAAGCTTTAACTCTGATGGGCTCCAGTGTATCTGTGAGTCTGTGGCTCCTCCTCCCTGTCCAGGCAGCACCATTCCACTCTCCACACTCACCGACAGGCCTGAGAGGGTGCGGAGACACACTCAAGGCCATCGCCTACCTGTCCTCTCCTGTACCACCGTCACCTCCTATTTGTACTTCCTTATGTCCCTCGGGGAGGGGGGAGGAGCAATCTCTTTGGACAGAGCTGGTCCCAGCTCAGTTTATGGTGAGGGTGGACACCATCTGAACTTGTGCACAATGTGCCACCTCAGAGACCCGTGTCCATGGATGGGATACTGGGACACCTCAGGATGTCCCTCACACCTGGTGTCTAATTGTGGGGCCCCATCCACAGGGAAGGGATGGCTCATGCCCTTGGGAACTTCTCTGTGCTTTTGCTGCATAGACTCTGGTTTTTGAAGTGAGCCTGCACATCCCCCTGCCAGGCAACCTGTCACCTCTTTCTAGAAGCAAGGAAGGGTCTGGCGGCCCATCCAGTTCTGGGTCCCCCATCACCTGTTGCAGGGAGCAGGGATAGGGCCAGGAACCCTGAAGGCAGACTGGGGGCTCCCTGTTGGCTGTGGCAGGAGCAGGTTGCCAGTGCAGGCTAGCATGTGGCACTGG